TTTTTTATTTTAGCAAATGGCTGCAATGAAACAAAGAGTGACAAATTTAAAGGGGTCTGAATACTTTCTGTACCCACTGTATATAAACACAATGGTTTCAGACTGTTGTCCTGCTGTAGTGCTGTGGCACATTCTCTAGTCCTTTCCTTCAGATTAAAGCTGTGATTCACATTTTAAGGTGTTATTCTCTCATTGTATGTTTAGCTAAATTTATTTACTAATAAGTGATGTTTACATCTACCAGAAATATGAGTGAATAATAAAAGAAAAGCTTTGGTATTTGAGTTTTTCCTGAATTAATCCAGCTCTTAGAAATGTGCTCTTAATTCCTGGTTTTATTTCGAAGAAAAAGAAACAAGCAGTAGAATAAAAAGCTTGTTTCAATGTAACACACTGACCTTTGACCTTTCAATTCATTTCCTTTATGTCCTTTATGTTTTCACTTCCGAGATCAAAGGTCAGCAGGGCATTATGAAGGGGGCCCTTTAAAATCTGGCACACATGAATTCCTGAGCCACAGTCATGTGGCCTACAGCTGCAGGCCACAGCCTTTGATTGGTCGACATGTTTGTGCTTTGTGTTTGCTTAGAGTATTTTTGACTACGATGAAGAGCAGATGGATGTGAACTGGCAGAGCGCACACACAGGCCACTGCTATTTGAATAGAAGTGCACAACTAAATGCACGTAATAAATGAACTAAGGTTTATCTTTTAATATGCAATGGTTTATATAAAGCACATGTGCCAAACATGAGGCCCGCCAGCCAGATCTGGACGGAAGATTTTAAATTATTTTTTAAATGGCAAGCAGGAAAATCCTGTAGTTTTTTGAGTTCATTATAAATTATTTTGTAAGTGTGTTTAGCATATTTGTGCCCCTGCAGGGCAGTGTATGTCATGCACTTTCACATTTACATGCAAAACTTTCACAGTAAGATCACTAGTTAGCATCAGGAATCAAACTGATAATCCAGCTGAAGGTTCCAGCAGAGGGAAGAATGACTGTGAGTAAAGACCCTTTACTGTGGACCATTCATTTGTGTTTCACAGGGTAAAGATGTTCAGCTCCCTGTCATAGGTGTCAGAGAGCATTCATTAAAATGTTGTAGAAACAGGAGGCGACAAGTCTGTCTGGGTTAATTATCATACTTAGAAGAAAGACATAGGTGGGACAGGTCCACGTCATATAATCTCTACGGTCTGATTGAGGTCTGCAAGGATGTAGCCTTTAAACAGGCAGTTCAGTGAGGACAAAGACGAGTCTAGACTTTCAATTCCAAAACAAATAAAAAAACTTGTTGCTACTTACTCAACAACTTCTATTTGTTTTTATTTTTCTGTTGATTAAAATTAAAGGAATTACAGTTTTATTTAAATTTCAGTTTGGGGAGTTTTTAAAGCATGAGTTTTGGTTAAAGTAATCAAATACATAAAGCAGGAGTTTTGGTTAAAGTAATCAAATACATGCTGAGAATAACAATAATAAAAATGCCTATGTACTCTTCCAGCCTCACATGCGTTATTTATCTTTTTGTTTTATTTTGGGTTTCATTTTCATTTGCCTGATTCTTCATACAAGTGAGTGCATAAAAATGCCTACTACACCTGTGACATCTGGGGCCGCAGATTAATCTCCTTCAGGTTGATGGCGTGAGGTCTCAGGTTGTTCAGCAGCTGGCACAGCAGGACCCCATCCCGCAGGGTTTGCGCCAAATCGAACACCTGCGCCGTGTCCGCAGTAACTCGGTGGCTCACGGGCAACACTTTGCAGCTGATCAGCCACATCGCACATTGTCTCCAGTATTCCATGCTGTCACTGTCGGACTATGGCGACAAAAAAAGTGAAGTTAACGCCGCAAAGTTTAGCTAAAATAGTGCATATTCCAGATGTGAGAGCTGCGCTGTGCGTCGTGCGCTCCTCGCTGATTCTGCGCTCCAACCTGGGAAACCTTCAGAAATGACATGTTCTCTGAACCGTGAAACCCTCCTCTCTGTCACAGTCAACTTCCCCTTCCTCCTTGTGGAAGTCACATTTCCTCTGAGGTGGTCGTTGATCTCACGTACCGTTTTCACAGCCTTCTGTTACACACTCCAGTAGTCCCGTCCATGTAGTTGCAGAATTTCACTCATTGCAGAAATGTGGTTTTTGTTAAATTAATCCAAGCAACTACTTGAAAACATGACTAGGAGCCAGAAGTGTGTTTCTGTGATAAAACAAAAGCTGTTTCTGACTTTGATGAGTATGAATACAAACTTTTTTCTTCTTCTTTTTTTTTTTTTTTGCAGATGATTTTGATGATAAAGTGACTCCTCATTCTTTTCTTTTGACTTGTTGGATAATCATTCAAATGTGTCAGCACTTAGTGGTGCTCAGATGTATATGGTGCTCATGAGTGACTGCATGTGTAATCCTTTACTCCCACATTCCATGTGGATTATAACCAGGCGACTAATCTGAGTCCTGGTGCCAGAAGTAAACTCCAAAATTTTATGTTTCTGCAAAGTCAATATAATTTAGTACAAATGAAACATGTTTGAAACAGAAGAAACGTTTTTGGTTGTTTTTTTTTCTGCTTTACTCTAGTTTACAGACAGTCGGCCCTTGGCATAAACACAGGAAGGAAGCACTTGGATCCCCACTGAGGGACACAGTCTTATTTTAACCTCAATCCAGGAAAGGTTGTTATGGACGAAAAACCAAGATTTTATGTGTGAGTGTCCCCCTTTGGAAATTAACTCTGCACCAGTTTAATGGGTTGTGTAACCTTATTATATGTCATTCCACACAAACTTCTTTTTAAGTGCAGCTAGCAGACTTTTGAGTCACATTTGCAACCTCCTCCCCCATTAGCCTAGTTTTTCAGAAGCTTGCAGATTTGCAAAAATTATGTGGAAGATAAATAAACATGACGTTATCGTCACTGACAAAAAAAAAACAAACAAAAAAACAAACACTTTTGTCCTGCATGCTGAGAATAACAATAATAAAAATGCCTATGTACTCTTCCAGCCTCACATGCGTTATTTATCTTTTTGTTTTATTTTGGGTTTCATTTTCATTTGCCTGATTCTTCATACAAGTGAGTGCATAAAAATGCCTACTACACCTGTGACATCTGGGGCCGCAGATTAATCTCCTTCAGGTTGATGGCGTGAGGTCTCAGGTTGTTCAGCAGCTGGCACAGCAGGACCCCATCCCGCAGGGTTTGCGCCAAATCGAACACCTGCGCCGTGTCCGCAGTAACTCGGTGGCTCACGGGCAACACTTTGCAGCTGATCAGCCACATCGCACATTGTCTCCAGTATTCCATGCTGTCACTGTCGGACTATGGCGACAAAAAAAGTGAAGTTAACGCCGCAAAGTTTAGCTAAAATAGTGCATATTCCAGATGTGAGAGCTGCGCTGTGCGTCGTGCGCTCCTCGCTGATTCTGCGCTCCAACCTGGGAAACCTTCAGAAATGACATGTTCTCTGAACCGTGAAACCCTCCTCTCTGTCACAGTCAACTTCCCCTTCCTCCTTGTGGAAGTCACATTTCCTCTGAGGTGGTCGTTGATCTCACGTACCGTTTTCACAGCCTTCTGTTACACACTCCAGTAGTCCCGTCCATGTAGTTGCAGAATTTCACTCATTGCAGAAATGTGGTTTTTGTTAAATTAATCCAAGCAACTACTTGAAAACATGACTAGGAGCCAGAAGTGTGTTTCTGTGATAAAACAAAAGCTGTTTCTGACTTTGATGAGTATGAATACAAACTTTTTTCTTCTTCTTTTTTTTTTTTTTTGCAGATGATTTTGATGATAAAGTGACTCCTCATTCTTTTCTTTTGACTTGTTGGATAATCATTCAAATGTGTCAGCACTTAGTGGTGCTCAGATGTATATGGTGCTCATGAGTGACTGCATGTGTAATCCTTTACTCCCACATTCCATGTGGATTATAACCAGGCGACTAATCTGAGTCCTGGTGCCAGAAGTAAACTCCAAAATTTTATGTTTCTGCAAAGTCAATATAATTTAGTACAAATGAAACATGTTTGAAACAGAAGAAACGTTTTTGGTTGTTTTTTTTTCTGCTTTACTCTAGTTTACAGACAGTCGGCCCTTGGCATAAACACAGGAAGGAAGCACTTGGATCCCCACTGAGGGACACAGTCTTATTTTAACCTCAATCCAGGAAAGGTTGTTATGGACGAAAAACCAAGATTTTATGTGTGAGTGTCCCCCTTTGGAAATTAACTCTGCACCAGTTTAATGGGTTGTGTAACCTTATTATATGTCATTCCACACAAACTTCTTTTTAAGTGCAGCTAGCAGACTTTTGAGTCACATTTGCAACCTCCTCCCCCATTAGCCTAGTTTTTCAGAAGCTTGCAGATTTGCAAAATTATGTGGAAGATAAATAAACATGACGTTATCGTCACTGACAAAAAAAAAAACAAACAAAAAAAAACACTTTTGTCCTGCATATACAGAATCAATTAGGAAATATTCTGTACTATTTCTGGAGGTCTGCATTCTACTGGATAAAAGGATAAAAGGAAGAAACCACAAATAGTTTCATATGGACAACTTCTTCAGTACTACTCTTCTGTTATGCTAACAATAAGAGAATAATGGTGGATCTAATGGACTACATGAAAACACCAAGAATAACTATGTAAAAAAAACACAATATTGATTACAATATTAGATTTGAAAAGAAAAAGGGAGAGAAAATACAATGGTTATTGTCAGCGTACATACTGGAGTCTAGGTGGAAATGCAAGAGCAGAAGGTTTTATATTGAAAAATGCAAAAACTAAGAGACAACGTTAGAAAGAGAACGATATAGACACATTTATGTTGCACATGGTGTATATCCACTGTACAAGTGTCATAGTGCATATTGTAAATTTTAGCATTTAAACAATTAAAAGTGATGGTTGACAACAAGGATTATCAAGGAGTGGAACTTAGTTATAAGAATACATGTTATACATAATAATAATAATACTAAAAAAATAATAGTTATTATTATTATTAATATTATTATCAATGTTTTGTTTTATTACTGTTGCTTTGTTGGAAAAAGTATGTATATGCTTAATATGCGTAAACATCCATTGCTTGAAACTTCCGGTTAAAAATAAAACAGAAACAAAAGGAAAGACGACGCGTGCACGTCACCGGAAACCATAATAAAGAAGCTGAACCGTCAAAACATAAACAGAGCAGCCAAGCTCGTGTACATGTCGCTAGCTCCGCCTGTGCACAAAGCTTAACTCACCTCTCCCTAATGTCGCGTGTTTCCCGTCATAGAAAGTTCAGCCGATGCACTTAGCTCAGCTGGTGAGCAGCGAGGTAACGGACGTAAATCTGCAAGCCAAGATTAGGACTAAATTAAGAAGAAGTGCGCCGCGTCGGGCCTTGGAGTAGAGGTAACACTAGCTGCGCTAGTTAGCCATGGCAAACACTTGTAGCAGCTCGCACGTATTTTGACAAGCAGCTGTTTGGAAGACAAGCGGAAGTGATCGTGTGTTTCACTGTCGAGTCGTCTCCTCCGAATGCTTGTTCTTTATTTTACCGATACAAAAGAGCAGTGTAGTCGTGTGTGACTGTTTTGTGCGTAATAAAAACAACAACACAAAAGAGAAGCAGGCAGAATAAACAGGGGCCTGCATGGCAGCTTAACTTTGACTTGGTTTGTTTTTATTGTTATGTAAAGTGGTGTCAAGGTAATAACTTAACCCTGGCAGATTGTTAGGGCGCACCAGTGCTAACAGGTAACGTGTCTGCCACTGCAGACTCTTAAACGTCGATAGTTGAAAACACTTCAGTGGTGTCTCACGTCCAATCATGGTCCTCTCGTGTTAACCTGCAACCTTAATGGTGTGTTGTTGTGTGTGTGTGTGTGTGTGACAAAGGTTCTTCCTCGGGTCGACGCTGGACAAAGGAGACAGAATGGCAGGAGCTGAAGGCAAATCCACAGTAATTAACGGTAAAGGCCAGAGTTGGACTGAGACAGTAACTGACTGGCTTTCGTCTAAACTGACACGGTGCATGTTTGTTATTTCCAGGTGGCTCAGAGAAGAAAGAGCCAGAGGAAGAACAGCACAGAGAGGGAGACGAAAAGAAGAAAGAAGAAGAAGAATTATCACAGTCCTCTCAAGAGGGTACCTGTTATGTCAACTTACAACTTTTCCTTATAGCGTATATTAAAAATGAGACAGATCCTCCAGCTGCAGGCATGAGTTGACAGTTGAATATATATAATTTGAAGTTTGTATTTATTTAAATTACTTTTATATGGGAATATTTTAGCAGAACAACTCCATTAAATCAATAAGACAATACAATGTGATTTCTTTTCTCTCTGGCATTTGTTTTCCCTGTGTTATAGCTACCAAAGAAACAGGAGAGACATCTGGAGACAGGTCTCTGCCAAATGTGGAAGAAGAGAAAAGCACAAACCCAGAGGCAGAGGAGGCCAAAGGGAAGGAGGAAGAGGCGGGGGAGGAAGAAGGAGAAGACACCGACAGCATGGAAGGCACAGGCTTCTACTCCCTGATTGAAGAGGGTGAAAAAGAAGGCGAGGGAGGCAAGAGAGAGAGGGCGAGGGAGATGAAGGGCAACAAAAGGGCATCAAGAAAGAGAAACAGACCTGGTGGCGGCACAAACCGCTCCTCCAGTTCTGATGAAGATGACTATGAGAATGATGAAGACGAACAGAAAGACAGTGATGATGATGATGATGACGACGACGACGACGATGATGATGACGATGACGAGGCCATGGCAGCCTGGCTGGGAGCAGAGCTGTGTGACCTCCGTGGGCCGACGTGGCGAGCCGTGCCATCGCTGCTTTCCAGGGAGATCGGCAGGGACTCGCATCAGTTTGTGAGGCGTGTCTGTGGAGCTCGGGGCCTCGTGCAGAGGCTGGAGCTCCAGGGCCGTTTGGAGAAACACACGGGCTGCGTCAACACGCTGCACTTCAACCCATCAGGCACACGCCTGGCTTCAGGCAGCGATGACCTGCGAGTTGTCATCTGGGACTGGGCCAATCGCCGCGCCGAGCTGGAGTTTGACAGCGGTCACATAAGCAACGTCTTTCAGGTTAGTGGGAAATGACTGACTTTAACAGCTTTATGCACCCAATATAATATTTAATTTTCAGTATGGCCATTGAAAATCACACAATTCACAAATATTTTTGTTGACTAAGAATGACCTGCATAGCTTCATACCTTATGTTCTATTAAATACACAGCGTACAAGTCTCCAGTCTATTACAGGGCGATCATAATCCATATTAATACCATAATCACACGTACTCTCCATGCTTTCATTTACATTGACTCTATTGTTGAAGTAAATTCTCCACACAATTTGATCCCTGTTTTATTCAGTTAGTTATTTTTTGCACTGTGAAGATTTCATGAATTCAAAGTGATGGACCCTGACCTGGGTCAGGATTATAACTCATGACCCAATAGCTCTGGGGCAACAACACCAACCAAAACAAACACATTGTAAATCACTGAGGAAAGTTTGGTTCCTCAACCCTTGAAGGGATTGTGTTTGTGTGGATTTTCTTTTTATTAGTTCTGCTGGAAAAAAATATATTATTTCAACATTTTCCTCACTGCACTTCACACAGGCAAAATTCCTGCCTCACAGCGGAGACTCGACCTTAGCCATGTGCGCTCGAGACGGTCAGATCAGAGTGGCTGAGCTGTCCGCCACGCAACGCTGCAAGAACACCATGCGAGTAGCACAACATAAAGGAGCGGCACACAAGGTGGGCGTTTATTTACCATGACTGGAAAAGTGATGAATAAATCAAAATGATGTCAAGTTATTACCTTTAGTGATCACATTTCAGCTAAATTGACTGATTCAATCCTGAAGATTGCTAATCTGCATTTTTTTTTTTCCAGCTGGCCCTTGAGCCAGACTCTCCGTGCTCCTTTCTGTCTGCTGGAGAGGACGCTGTTGTATTTGGAATTGATCTGCGTCTTGATAGACCTGCCAAGTAAGAACTATGACTGAAGTGACTGAAGTTTACCAACTCATTATCACAAGTAATAATGTCAAATTCAAGCATGTGACATTTAGAGGAGGTGACCGTGGTCGTCTGTAGCCAACAGTCAGACATCAGATAATAAAAAGCATGTTTGTTTTTGTTTCCTTACATTTGTGTGACAGTAAACTGGTGGTTGTAAAGGAGGGCAACAAAAAAGTTGGCCTGTACACCATCTACGTCAACCCAGCAAAGACGCATCACTTCGCTGTGGGTGGAAGAGACCAGTATGTGAGGTGGGAGCCATCCTGTGGTTTTAACAGCGTTTTATTTTTTACGATTACATTCATGTAATTGTCGTATGATCGGACTATTTTCTCACGTTTGGCTTTATCAACACACTCTAGGATCTACGACCAGAGGAAAATAAACGAGAACGACAACAACGGTGTTTTGAAAAAGTTTTGTCCCTCACACCTGGTGTCCAGTGAGTCCAAAACCAACATAACCTGCCTGGTGTACAGTCACGATGGCACAGGTAAATGTCCAGAACTGTCAATGTGTTACAGACGTATTTTAACTCACAAGGCAGGTCCACAAAATGTATTAAAATAATACGGTTTTTTTGTGTGTGTTCCCAGAGCTCCTTGCCAGCTACAACGACGAGGACATCTACCTGTTTGACTCCAACCACAGCGATGGAGCCGACTACCGCAAGAGATACAAGGGACATCGTAACAACGCCACTGGTAAAAAAAAAATCAGTGTCAAAGAGATATTTATTTAACCACCATCATTCAAACATGGCTGCCAATCTCTCCAAGCCTGACTGAAACCTCTTCTTTTGTCATGTTACAGTGAAGGGAGTGAACTTCTACGGACCGTGCAGTGAATTTGTGGTCAGTGGAAGTGACTGTGGACACATCTACCTGTGGGACAAGTATTCCGCACGTATTGTCCAGTTTATGGACGGAGACCGAGGAGGGGTGGTAAGATGGAAACAGAGCCACACGGTGTATAACTAGTACCCACATATATGCATATATGTACATATATACTACATATGTACAGTGTGTGTGTGTGTATATATAAAAAATATATATAGACTTTGTTCCTCTCCAATAAACAACCACAGGTCAACTGTCTGGAGCCTCACCCTCATCTGCCTGGTATGGCCACCAGTGGGTTGGACCATGACATCAAACTGTGGGCTCCAACAGCTGAAAGCCCTACAGGATTGAAGGGTCTGGAGGAGGTACAGTATTCTGTCTTATTTAACTCATTAAATGTTGTTATTCAGACTTCTTCATCCTCACATCTCTATACACACCAGCATGTGGGGAATAAACAAATATTTGAATGTAAGTTTTATTTTTGTAAAGCTGGGTATGGAAATTTCCAAGCATTACTGCAGTACATGCAAACACCCAGGCACTGGTTTGGTGTCTAATATTCACAGACGTTAATACAATACTGCAGTAAAATTTAAGCTAAAATAAACTGATCAAATTTTGTTTGTTTTTTTTAAGGTCATGAAGAAAAACAAGCGTGAGCGAGACGAAGACAGCGTTCGTCACGGCGACCAGTACGACACCCAGCTGTTGTGGTTTCTGATGAGACACATGAGGAACAGACGGCCAGTGAGGGTGAGCTGAGAAACTTTTCAGTCTCTTTAACACTTAACAGTTCCTAATGTTCTTTCATATTTTGTTGTCCGTTGTTTTTCCACTTTGTTTCGACACAGACCCGTCGTGAGGGTGCAGACCCAGACTCGGATGAGTCCTGGAGCTCTCCAGACTCCTCTGACGAGGAGGAAGGAGGCCCAGACCACGTCCAGTGCATGTCTTCTTGAGCCAACCACACACACACATACATACACACACACACATATACATACACATACATACATTCTTTATTGCCCTTGAATTGATGCACATAGGCAAGCACTATTGACACACTGGCACACTCAGACACTGACGAGCCACAGACTTTGGATGTTACTGTTTGTTTGATTTATTGTTTTTTTTTTGTCATTATCCAATCTCATACAGACAAACATACTCTTACCTACACCTGCTGTTAAAGCAGTGACACAAATACATGACATGTTTGTTAATGACTCCCTATAAACCACTGGGAAGCCACAGCTTTTCCATGCATCACCTTTGTCTTTGCCTTAGCTTGGTGTCCACGGTTTGAACAGAGGCTACAGACGGCAACAAGCACCTCCCACTTAAGGCACCCAGTAGTTGGCAGCACATCACCAGCACAAGATCCCTCCTCTCCTAGTCACTAAGAAGAGGGGCCGCACAGGGCCGGATGTAAACCAATCAACCATCCCTGAAAATGTGACGTCCTTTGACATTTGAATTTAAAGATTAAATAAAAAGCTATGGCCCCTCACTGCAGCACTTCGGCCCCATTAGTGACTCCTGACCCCTCAGGTTGAGCCATTTTGTTGCATTCATTACAAGTCTGCCCCCGGAGGACGACTAAAAGCCTTCACCCTGTATGCTGCCTGCAGCTACTGCGCCCCCCACACCCTCCCAACATCAGTCTGTCCCTCCCTACTGAGTGCACTTTGAATCAGGGACGCTTTAGTTTTCAGCTGTCACAAAACTGTGTTTCAGAGGCAGAGTTCTCAACTTGCTTTGTATAAAAAAAAAACAACATAGGAGTGTATTTTTTTTGCGCGGGTGAATACTTTGCACTTAAAATATTTTTGACTTGGGAAGAGAAGGTTAGATCTTGCTTCCACCAGCCTCTTCCTTTTCCTCGTTTCTCCTCCTTTCTCACCCCCTCCAACCTGACACCCATTTTTGACGGAACACCACTTCACCTCTCACCTAAGACAGAAAAGAGTTTTTCAGCATTTTCACCGAGAATAAATGAACTAAATGGAACGGTGCCGGATGTTTTGAGGACATTTATATCAGTGCTGCTCTGTCACAGGTTCAGAGAGAAGGATGGGGGTCAGCAGGGGTCAGTATGCTTGCCAGTCATTTGTTGTGTGAGAGCGATAAAGTCCAGCTTTTCTCAATTTCTGTGAGAACCCTTAGACAAATTTATATGTGTAAATATATATATAAATATATTAAAACTGTAAAAAAAAAAAAGCAAATGCAGTTTGGCTTCAAAGTTTAAAAACAAATCACGTTGAAACATTTGATGGGTATTGATGCAGATGTTTATATTCTATACGAGGACAGAGACATTTTAAATTCAAAATAAAAACCCAGCGACTCCATCTTCCCTTTTCTGAATGACTCCCTCCTGAAATAAATGAAATGTCATTTCAGGTGTTAAGGTTTTGATTCTCTTGTATAAAAAAAAAAAACAAACAAACAGTATTTTCTGTGCTTTAATTATTTCAAAAAAAATCACATTCAGCAGCTTGTATACATTCTAGGGTGCTTGATGGGTAATTTTTCACCACTGCCCAAAACAATGCATTCTATTGATTCAGTTGGAAGTATGTATGATTTGTGCAATAAACATAAGTCAGTGCCCCAAATGTTGCATTTATTTCAAAGTCTCACTTCTTGGTTTCTTATCATAAAGTCAGCCAAAACCGACACTTACAAATCGAATACAGATCAGTATTCTCAGTGAAGGTTTTTATTTTATCAAGCCCGATGTCTTATGGAGCAAGACCAAATTATTTACTATATATATAAATATATAATATATTTCTTCTTGGTATGCACACGCTCGGTCTTGTTTGTTGTTGCAGAGAGCTTTAAGGGCTTGTTGCACGGAAGAAATGAAGCAGTACTGCTGGTGATCGTGGGGGTGGTGTTGCACTGTTTGAAGCCTTCATAATCCCTAATGAGAGAGGCTCTTGTATCTTTATTTCAATCCATTCTTTAACCTACACAGGACAGACTACTTTTATCCTTCATCATTTGTAAACAGTTTTTTGCTCATGTTTATCTTTACTCCTGTGTGAAGTAACCAGATCTCAATTAAACTTCAACATCATGTTTTTTATTCAACACATCTCCAGAGTAAAAAGTCAATCTAACATTGGCAGTCACAACACATGAACCAGGCTCTACAAAACTAGACCAGATCAAAGATCAGACAAACATCAGAACCATGTCACCATTATCAATGTGCAATTTGTGATATGCAGCTATAGATCCAAATGGAAATCACACAGAGGTTACTGCAGTAAAGAGAGCCCTTCACAAATCAGCCCAGAAGGAAGAACATCATTTCTGAATGAGTCGCTGAATGTTTTCCCAGCCAAAGGCAGCCAAAGCCAAAATAATACAGCCGGTCAGCTGGAGTCATGCCCTCTGCCACCCCACACGAGGGGAAGACGTGGTGCAGCCACCAGATAACAATCCACTGTGACACAGATAGACATAAATAATAACAGAGACTGTCACGAGAGTTTTTACAGTGTTGCTCGACTGTAAATCTTTGTTCTCTCTCTCACACACACATATATAACTGATAAGACTCCACAGGTTCAACATCCACATCTCAGACATGTCATCATTCTTTGTACTCCAGGAACTGCTGTAGTCTCTTGTGGTGCTCTGCAGACATCTGAACAGCACTGAGGATCAAACACACATAATGGTAAATCAACTGTTTCTATTGGTGAGTCCATTTAAAAAAAAACTGTTATTAACAGTGCTTACTTTAAATGATCACCAAACGTGGTTGTTATTCTGTAGATGGCCGTCTTTAGTGTGGCCCTGAGGGCAAAGCGCAGTGTTCTGTAAGAAGAGTCTCCTATACTGCTGGTCAGTCTGACGGGTTTACTGGAGGCGTGAGGCAGCTTGAAGTGACGGTCCACGGCCTGAGGAGAAGACAACCACTTAGTGTGGACAGAGTACAGTGGACAGAACACTGGCCTTTTTATTCTGTGGTTACTGGACGTTTGTGCAACTAATGACAAATAGCAGCTCGAGTTTTCTGTTAACAAAGTGCAGAACACTCAACTAACCCATAGATGTCACTACTGTACTCTTAGTCATACATGCCAACAGTTTGTTTGATTTTTTTTCTGCAACACATCCAACTGCCAGAAAAGTTAGTACACTTTCTAATAGTCACACACACATAGAACACTCCAATGGCAGATGTAGTTGTTGAACCATAGGTTTTCTTAGCTTATCTTATGTAATATACCTCTTGTAGTGCCAGCATACAGCTAAGGATGCTGGGTAATGTCGTCTGTACAACTCCGAACTGGTCTTCTGAGAAGGAGGCTTGAACAAGATAAGACAATCCTGCAAAAAAGATAATAAATTATAATAAAAAAAAAAAATAATGAAGGTTTTGCTTGTTAATCATTAAAAAAAACCACTGGGCCTTCTCACCTTCTAAAGCCCAGATGTAAGCCTGGCTGTCAGCAAAGAGAGCCTGACTGGAGGCTTCTGGAAGCTACACAACACAACGTTAGTTCATACAGGAGCACGTTTAGCGCCGCTGACTCAGAGCATTGTGGCTGATGTTGCTACACACGACAGTGACACGGCACCACAACCCACATGCACGGTGACAGAAACATACAGTAAGTCAATGTGCTTCTACATAAAGTGAAAGTGTTAAGGCTCTAACTCATGCACTACTGAAACCCTCGGTTTCAATCAACAGGCTGGTGGTACTAATGTTTGAGTGAAGCTTTAAAAAAGTCATCAGTCAATTCATTCCAAGAGCATTATTCATTCTTTAATTTAGGCTCAATCAGTGCGTAAATTAGTGAAGCCTGCAGAAGAAGCCGAGGTTCTTAGATTTGTTAAAAACGTCATGCAGTTAGTGTAAAAAAAAAATTTTAAAAAAGACAAGTGCCTTCAAGACAACATGCACATGCCTGATATTCTTACCTTGTTAAACAAATACATTATCAGCACCCGTTTTGCCATGAAATTTTTAACCTGAATAAAACAATTAGGCATAAAGTTGCTTTTTTTTCCCCCATGTCAGAACTACAAACTAAAATCAAAGATTTAATTTCCTAAAATTGTACTTTATATTCTCTTCACTTTTGGTATAGACTGTATACAATAACAAAGAAATAAACTTTATTCTTTTGTTATGGCTGCAGATTAAGAGAACCTGCTTGAATAACATGTATGGAGGACATGAAACATTAACAGCCTATGGCACATCAACATTGGTCATTTATCATGTAGTGATTTGAATGAATAATAATATCAATAATTATAAAGTACCTGTTCTTTTCTGTTCTGGAGAAACTGAGCCAGGAGAGTGGGTTTTAATGCTTCCTGCTGGGGATTGCAAACTGTGGCAGTAGATGGTGAGGGGCTGCCGTTAAACTGTGAATCTATGGTGAGGATGAAGTTGACAGTCGAGTCACAAACAGAAACAGTTAGTTATAAGATACAGATCAATGAGCAGCAAAAAAAACAGGAGCCCAGTTTGTTTAATCTTAATGAAGGATGATTTCATCTGCATACCTGTGGAGGTGGACCAGAGTTTTGGTGCTCTCCTCATGATGTGTGGACTCTGCACTGTGCCGTACCATGGCGAACACTGTTCAATGGGAGCAGTCAGGCGTCGGAGTGTGGGTGAAACAAAGGGACTGCCCAAGTCTGGGGTGAATGGTGCCGTCAGTGAAACGTCACCCACAGTGGAGCGGGCAAAAACTGAAACTGGAGTTTTCATCAGCAGAGTTGGCCTTGGGCTCATCAAATCTTCTGAACCAGATACTACTTGCAGAAAAAAAGAAAAGAAAAGAAAATTATGTTTAATATTTTTAACCCCACTTGCTGATTCACAAAAAAAGGCTACTACAGCACTGCCATGAATGAAATTCTACACTGTTAAATTCCATCTTTAATCATTTAAATCCTGATTGTTTACTCTGTGGAAGACAACCTTACCTGACGTCTCTGATGACGTCTTCCTCTCACTGCCAGTAGAGATGGATTTAGCTCTGCCATTGGATGCCACGTTGTCGTGATAAGCTACAAGTCTCTGTGTCAGATCAGACAGCAGACACAGACACTCCTGACTAATGGAATTCCAGTTATGGGGATGGCCACCTGATACAGTGAAATAAAAATAGATTTTATTTTCGTTGATCTTCTTACAAATAAATTGTGAAAAGTTTGTCAAGATTTATTCAAGGCTATGCAATGGACCTGGCTGACTCAGACTGAAGACTTCAGCTCGTCGGGATGGAGAGTGTTTGGACAGAAGAGCCAGGTCCTGCAGAGCAAGAAACTAAAAAAAGGAAAAGAAAATTTCAGCAAAGGACATAAACAAACAAGGAAAAAAAGCCAATTCTTTGTCAGTGTGTTTCAGTTACCTTTAATATCATTGATTGCCTTTCATGCACAACTTTTGGGAGACACTGGTGGGCATCTTCAGTAAAAGTTGAATGAACAGGAAAACTGTAACCCTGCAGATCATCAATAAAACCAATGAAAAAATGAATGAAAAATATCCACATACACACGTACACAGAATACGTTTATTATAAAAAAAAACATACCTCAGTGACAAAGATCCTGAACAGTACTAATGTGATGTACCATGTAAAGAGGAGGAAGGTGGCACTGATCCACAGGTGATAGAGTAAAGTGAGGTCCAGCAGTCCAGCAACACTATCAAGAGTGTGCATGGAGCTAAGGATAAAGGAATCCAATGGTAAGATAATGACAGAAGAAAAGGCATAATATAATATAATATAATATTTTTAAAAGAATATTTGAGTTCACTCACGGATCTAAATGAAGACTGAGTGTTTTACAAATCCATGCTCTCGGAATGTATCCTGAATATTATTATATATTTGAAACAATCCATGTAGAATGACAAAAAAAAAATCTTATTCAATGTAGTTCAAGTACAATAAGAGAATGATACAAATTGCAATGTTTGGGAAAAAGGAGACGTCACTTACCCAAAAAGAAATAAAAAAAAATGAAGTTTCTGACAGAGTAAAATGCTTGAGTAGCACTGCATTTAACCAATAACGGCAAAGATCCTTTGAAGCGAAGGTATTTGTATTGCTGGGAACAGAAAAATAAAGTTACCATAGAAATAAAAAAAAATAATAACAACTAAAATACAAACCGTGTTGAGATTTTTGTTTTACTTTTTGGCTAGTTTAGAGAACAAACCATACCTGGACGGGGTGGAAGGAGACATAGTTCATGTTGTACATCACACCGAGAAGACTGTGAGAAAATCCAACAAATGCTCCAGCGAGCA